CACGATTCTCACCGCCCCCCACTTTCAGGTAGAATTAAAAAAAGCACAAGGCAAACAAAAAAAAGGGGATTGTGCAGCACAAGACAGACCAATAATGACCTTGTGTCATATCCACGCTTCAAGCCCAAAGGGCTTTTGTGTGAGGGAGTGTGTTAGACGATATAATATAAATCATTAAAAAGGTCATCACTCAACACCTTAGGCTTTGTTTGGGAGTTAGTTTTTGTAACAGCCCCAAACCCTGTAGCATGATATTGTCCGCTTTGCCGCGCGCACAAGCACCGTCGAGCTCACGGTTTTGTTTCTTGGGACACCCCACAAAAGGCCTCCTACAAGGAAAGGTATCCACACCCTTATATAAGGCATGCTTCGTTCCCCTCTCCAACCGATGTGGGACATTACATCCTCCCCCACTGGGAATACAGCGTCCCCGCTGTACACACCGGTCTAGGGTCAGGCTCTGATACCAAATGTAACAGCCCCAAACCCTGTAGCATGATATTGTCCGCTTTGCCCCGCGCACAAGCACCGTCGAGCTCACGGTTTTGTTTCTTGGGACACCCCACAAAAGGCCTCACACTAGAAGAGGTATCCACACCCTTATAAGGCATGCTTCGTTCCCCTCTCCAACCGATGTGGGACATTACATCCTCCCCCACTGGGAATACAGCGTTCCCGCTGTACACATCGGTCCAGGGCCAGGCTCTGATACCAAATGTAACAGCCCCAAACCCTGTAGCATGATATTGTCTGCTTTGCCCCGCGCACAAGCACCGTCGAGCTCACAGTTTTGTTTCTTGGGACACCCCACGAAAGGCCTCCTACAAGGAAAGGTATCCACACCCTTATATAAGGCATGCTTCGTTTCCCTCTCCAACCGATGTGGGACATTACAGTTTTAGGAGGGAAAGGAAAGGGAGGGAAGGGTTTGTTTGGGAGTTTAAAAAAATAGGGAAGAGAATTGGAGATTTTTGCAAAATCCTCCAAAACCCTTTTCACTCTTAAAATTAAAGTTTCGCCAATTTGGGGGGTTTAAGGAAAAAATATTAAAAATTACTTATCTACCCTTAGCATTAAAATCTGAAAATTATATAAATATGAATCATTTTTAAATGTGGCATTATTAGAAAAGTCTTAAAAATCGACAAAAAAAAATTCATAAAAAATGGAGACAGAATTTTTTTTGTCGAAACTAAAAACGAAAATTAGAGACAGAACAATATTTGGCCATAATCACTGACCTAAATTTTTTTCGAAAAAAAATTCAATCAAAAATCTTGATAGAATCTAAATTCCGTCGAAGCTATCAACTAAAATATTTCGTCAAACTTTTCAAGAAAAATATTTCCGTCAAATATTTCAATGAAAGCCATTTCCATAGAAACTTTTTGACAGAAACAATTACATAAAAATTTTGTCGGAAAACATTTTCGTCAAATTTTTTTACGGAAAACATTTCCATCAAAATTTTAAACGGAACACATTTCCAGCAAAATTTTTTGATGAAAAATATTTTTGAAAAAATTTGTGACGAAAAATAGTTTTGTAAAAATTTCTGGCTCAAATTTGTTTTTTGTCATAATTCTCTACGGAATCTAAATTCTGTCAAGACATTTCCATCAGAATATTGACAGAAAACCAAATTCGTCGAAATCTTCGACGAAAACAATTTTGACGAAAAAAATTTCATCGAAAAAATTTTCGTCATATTTTTTGACGAAAAAATTTTCCGTCAAAATTTTCGACAAAGCATAATTTCATCAAAAAAATTTAGCGCAAAATATTTCAGTAAAAAATTTGACAAAAAACATTTCTGTAAAAAATTTTGATGGAAAAAATATTTCGTCAAAATTTGTTTATAGAATCTGAATTTCGACGAAAGTTTCGTCAGAAATATATCCCTAAAAAATTTTGACAAAAAAATTTTGTTAAAATTTTCATCGGGACACATTTTCATCGAAAATTCTGAACGAAAAATATTTCGTCAAAAATTTTAACGGAATTCTTTTTCCGTCAAAGCTGTTGATGGAATTTTTTTGCGTATTTAAGAAATTATTTTCATCAAAACTTTTAACAGAAACTAAATTCCGTTGAAAATTTTGATAGAAAAATTATTTTTGTAAAAAATTTCATGAGATAAAAATTTCGTTGCCTTTCGAAGAAAAGTATTCTGACGGAAAAGTAATTGTTTGACGAAATTTTCGTCGTTTGTAACGTAAAAAATTCGTGAAAATATGATCTGTTTTAGCAGTGTGAAAAATACATAATAATTTTGTTTATAAATTTTAAATTTAATTTAATTTGTAAAATATAATAATTATATTATTATTTTTTTAAAATGATAAAATTGTAAAAATATTTCATTAACCCTCCAATTTCTTCCTTATCATTTTTTTAAATCTCAAACAAGGTAAAGAATACCCTTCAATTGCCTTCCCCTTCTTTTCCCTTGAATTTCTTTCCTTTCCTTTTCCTCCAAACTCCCAAACAAAGCCTAGATTTTGGATTGAAGTGGTTCTTATTTGAAATTCAAACCTTAACAAATGAAGCTGATATAGTGATGTATACAAATAGCAATAAAAAAAAACTTAGAATGAAAGGCTAGGCTTGAAGATGGTGTCTGGCTCTCTGCAACAGCAAGCGCCAGCTTAGTCAGCGGAAATAGGAACTACTGGACCACTGGCAGATTCATGATTTTTGCTTCTATTGAGACCCTTGTTTTAGTCTTCACCCATTATGTGTTGGACCACAAAAAAAAGGCTCATGACACATTCAATTTTATGTTTCCCCTTCAGAAACTCTTCCTATGCTATAGTGTTTTATTGTTTTCACATATAAGGTATGCAATTAATATTTTTTTAGTACATCAAGGTATGCAATTATTTAAACAAACTATTATTATTATTATTAATTGTACATAGAATTGAATTTAGGTGAAATAGACAAAGTCCTTAATCTGAGTTGTTAGTGATATACGAGTTGTGGTTCCTTGGCCCCATTTGCATTTAGAACCTCTAGCTAATGGTACCTCTGTACCAAAGAAAGCTAAGAAAGCATTATCAAGGAAAAGACAAGTTGTGGGCACAATTGCTTTGTAGTTTGTAAGGTAGATGAATTTGCCAAAGCCTCACCATAATCCAGTTGAGTGCATTTTACAGATAGGAACCTTGCTGGCTTGCTTACCAACCAACACTTTAATTTGTTGCTGTTTCATGATGCCATCTCATTAACAAACAAAAACAAGAAAACCAACATACATACCTAAATCATTTCTGGTCTAGTACCTAATCAGACTCATTTTTTTGTTTTTTGGTCTTTTTTTTCTAGATCATAATAGTGTTGTTACATAATACTTCTAAGACTTTTAAGAACAAGAACGAAATAAAAATCCAGCACCAACAACCTAAAACAATCATTTATATCCTGTAAGGATCCTTAGTATTTTATATTTCCATTTTTTACAATAAAATATAAAAAAAGGTATGTGTATTGTAAAGTTATAATAGATTAATAGTGTTATATGGTGGTTGTCATAGCATGGCCTAAACAGTAAACTATTGCCGCATCTATATATTGCTGTTATTCTATAAATATTGGAGAAACCTGAAATTGAGGAAATTTTAATTTAAAAAAAGTTAACAACTTTTTCAAAAGAAAAATGAATTTTAATGTATCAGTTAATTCAATTCATAATATTCTAATCTCAATTCTTAAGACTTTTTTTTTTTTAATCCACTTGGAGTTGGAGGTTTGATTTTTTCAAATCCATATGTTCCAACTGAACCTTCTCATTCCTTGTATAAAATATGTGGCATATATCTTAGTAGGTTTTTGCAATTAAATTTTAGCCGTAACTAAAATCTTTATCAGATTGAAACTAATGTACCGATTAAAATTTTTAGACAATTTCCACCCAATAAAACATAATTGTAGGTACAGGAAAAAAGTACTTAAAGGTGTACTTAAAAAAGACTCCAACCCTGAAGTTAATTGATGAATGAAGCGAAGAATGCAAAAAAGTGAAAGTTGTGTCACTGAAAATAAATCAAAGACCATATATGTATTTAATGATTTAAGATTTGTTAATTAATTAGTGATCCACGTTATGGGTCCAATACATAAGTCTAGAAAAAGTTTTTGCAATTAACTAGCAGTAAGTAGCATCTTTATCATATTGAAACTGATGTAACCATTATACAATTATAAAATTTTAGGCAATTTTCAACCAATAAAAACATGATTGTAGAGAAAGGAAAAGTGGAAAATCTCGTGGTCCTCGAGATAGAAACAAAAAAAAAAAAAAAAAAAAACAGAGGGCATGCATGTAAAAACGCAAGAAGCAAAGACATTTTGTTATTTTGCAGAGTATTTTGTTCAGAAATGTTTAGTCGAAGCACTAGTATCTTAATTTTGGATTTATGGGTTTTCTCTGAGGAATTGATGGGCTAAATGACTTTGAAGTTGGCAAATTACTCTGACTAGGAATAATGATATTGGTCAAGAGATGGTGTGTATACACAGTGATCGCATAATAATATATGAAAGAGAAATGTTTATATTTGTAAATGTTATTTCTTATTTATAGAATTTACCCGCGTTGCAGATAATGAAATTTTGGATCTTTAATGACTTTACTAATGAAAGTCTATTTCCATATTTATTAATGTCTTATTAGGATTAGTGTAAGAGTAATTTTCTTATTGAATGAACCTTTCTCGCTAGGCCAATGACACAAAGCTTCCCTATCCCAAAACACCTCACTAAACGCCAAACAAAAAGAGCAACTGGTTTTCCAATTCTCCACAACATTTATCATTCTGAGCTGTGTCCAAAACAGTGGGCCATGCACGTGTTTAACCCTTCCCCCAATTAAGTCCCCTTCACTTCACCCATTCCACCCTATATAACTGAACCTTCCTCGTTTCCCCTCCTATCATCACCATTATTCACCTCCCTAACCCTCTCTCTTCATTGAGGCATTCATCAAACACCTTCCCAAGATGGCCAAAGTTGGAAAGCTAACAAAGATCAAGTCAGCGATCAAAAGGTGGCCCTCACTTACCAAGCTCAGCCGCAACAACAGCTCTGTCTCCGCCACCAAGGAAGGCGGCAGCGCCTCCTCCTCCTCCTCCAAGGAACAGGAACAACAACAACAACTCCACGCCGTCTACGTTGGCAAGTCCCGGAGGCGGTACCTCGTGAACTCCGAAGTCATAGATCACCCTGTGTTTCAGGAGCTAGTGGATAAGTCTTCTTCTAGTGGTTGTGATGATGGGGTTGTGGTTTCATGTGAGGTGGTGCTTTTTGAGCACTTGTTGTGGATGCTTGAGGGCAATGAGACCCAGTTGGGGTCCATGGATGAGCTTGTTGAGTTCTACTCTTGTGCATGCTGAGAAAAAGAGCTAGTAAACTGACTTCAATTGCTTTTGATGATGGTGACGCAAGAAACAAAAAAACAATTTAGTGACTTAGTTCATTGAGATTGATAAAATATTATATATATAAATGTTACTAATGATGTTCATGTTAATTAAGTAATTGTAATTATGGCAGTTATTATAATGTTTCACCCTTTGAATTTATAATGAGAGTGACCCACATTGATGAGCAATATAAGCTTCTTTTCCTATCTTACCAATTGTTAGTAGCATTTATCTAATTCTAATATCAATTTCATTCAATGCGGTATTTTAAAACTCGGTCTGATCATCGACTGTATTGGGTCATTGCGTCATTGTTTAATTGGTGGATCATTGGTTCAACCAATTTTAATTAAATTATATAATAAATATATTATAAAATGTATTTTGAGCAACAATTAAGGGTAGTCTAGTTTTAAGTGATAACTCTACTCACTCTCGTAGACTTGGTTTGATTCCTAGCGTGAAATCAATGTACAGGTTAGGTGCTGATTTTTCTTATTATTTATCTTACCTTTTCCTTAATGAGTGTGATGTTGGAGACAATAAATTAATATAATTATAAATGATCAATATCTAAAAAGTTTACGCGAGTCGGTGTGGCTCAGTTGGTTTGGTGCTGACTCCAAGGGTTTCGGGCTGTGAGTCTAAAGGGCTTGAATTTAACTCATAGTAAACACACTTTGTGGGTAGCGGAGAACTCCTTGCTCTCTCAATGCGCGAAAGGGAATTAGTCCTATCCTATGTGAGGTGGGGATACCCTTGAATTTACTCAAAAAGTTTACGCGAGCAAATTTAAATAATGATTTACGATGTTTAAGCCTTCCGCTTTTGTGCAACAAAAGGTATCGACTACTTTTCACTAAGAAGGGATCTAATTAACAGAAAGTAAATAAGAAGATAAATGAGATTAATTTGGGGATAAAAAAGTTGTTGATTTTTTTATGCTTTGATGAATTAATCTATAGTTCTTTAGGTACACAACGTTTTGGTTTTATACATATTGATGACTGATAAACCTTTAGTTTATCTTGTTTTATGGACTAAAATAATATGAATTATCTAATTGAACAAGTCAAAAACTAGGGTTTTAATAGGATAATTATGAACATTATCTGATTGTTACTTAATTAAATATATTTGCTATTTTTGAAGGGATTTGATAACAAATGGATTCAAATATGAAGATTTGGATAAAAGGGAGATCAAATCAGAAAAGATATGGATAGATGGAAAGCAAAACAAAAAGATTTGAAGATCTTATCAAGATTCCCAAGTTGTTAGAAGAGGGAGCTTAAGCCCTAATTCAGAAGCTTAAGCTCCCTAAAAACGCAAATAACTACTGCCTCTGGGCGCTTAAGCCCCCAACTCAGAGCTTAAGCGCACCATAAGAAGAAAGTTTTGTTGCGAGGAGCGCGCTTAAGCGCCCTCCATCGAGCTTAAGCGCGCAACGCGAGTCAGAAATCACTGTCCTATGGTGCTTAAGCGCGATACAACAAGCTTAAGCGCCCCGAAAGATCCAACTTAGGCCCATTCGAGTTTTCTACTAGGATACGAACTCTTGGCCAATAAAAGGACCATTGGGGACCAGAAATACATAACTTTCACAACACAAAACAATTCTGGACGCTTGGAGGCCGAAGGAACGCGGAGAAACATCAGATTCATGTTCATGAACGGCGGAGACAGATCGACTTCAAGCTTTCACTGGAGATATTGAGGATTCACCAATCACCTATGGAGTTTGGGGGAACTTTTCTATTTTCTTTTGTTCTTGAATTTGCTATGTCCGGCTAGTTCTTTAAGTAGTTAGGGTTAGATGGATTTTAATCGATTTATTATGCTTTGAACAATTCGTACGTTAATTTTCCTTTTTATCATGAATGAAGTTATCTGTTTTTAATGCTTTATATAGGCTTGAATCTTATATAATGATCATCGATAAATGCATGACAATAGGGATGTTGGTGTGTGATCCATATCTGATAACTTCATTGTAAACGCTATAATTCTAGGGATAGACATAGAATTTGTGTAACATTAAGATTCTTGAACTTAATGCTTGCATTCTTGGGGAATAACCGGGAAACTAGGGTTCTTTCAAGTTTGTAAAGGTTTTAGGGTAACAAGGGATTGAGCTCTAATAACACGCGAAAGAATTGGTTAGATTGATATTAAGGACTTTTAACGTAAAGAAGGACTTCGAATCATAATAAGGAGATTAAAGGAAATCGAACCCCTAACTACGTTTTTATTTTATTAGTTTAATCAAATTTTTACCTTCTTGTCTTTAATTCTTGCGAGTAGTTAGCTTTAATATTTAATAACCTTAATTTTGCAATTCAAATCCTGTTTCCGAATACAACTTCGATTGTCCAACTAAGTTTGCGATAGTGAATTAGTGCTTGAATCGTAATCCTCGTGGGAACGATCTTTTACTTAATCAGTATATTACTTGTACGATCGGTGCACTTGCCTTGAGTAGCCCAACAATGACCTATGAAGCACCGACATTTCAAAGACCTTGACGTGTCGTGTTCGACAGTCTCCGACACTCCAACACGCATTGTAGAAACTCAAAAAATGGTTCAAAGGTTGCATTGCGTTGTGTTTTTAGTTCCAACTAATAGATTCGTTGGATTACGATTATAATTTTATTGAGTTTAATATAAATATTTGGGATATCTTATGTTTCTTTGCAAAATTAATGGGTATTATAAGTTTAACTTTATTTTTTTGTTAAATTATTGAATATTAAATATAATATACACTACATAAATAAAAAATATTATTTAATATCACAACGTGTTGAAATCTAATAATTTTTAAAATTAACGTGTCGGAGCGTCGTATCGTGTCGTGTCACGTGTCCCATGTCAATATCGGTGTTACATAGTTGATGACCATTAACAGAGGATGTCCTCAAGATCTGTTACATCTAATTGGATTAATCAAATTAAATCAAAAGACAGTACTAATGTTGGATTTACTTTTTGTTTTCAAGGATATTTGACCGTAAATTAAGAACATGATTAATTCTAAGATGGAGGGTCTTGGACACACATGATTTGTCTGGTTCAGTTGTACTTCAATCCAATATATACTATATGCCTATGAATATGGGGATTAGAAATAAACTAGAAAATTGAGCTAATACACGTAAGCATTAGTGTTTTTCATGCGACACTCAGGAAGATCTATGCCGAAATTACAGGATCTAGCCAAAGGGGCTCTTGAATTTAGAAACTGCGGTCAGATTTTATTCAAGATTGAAATTAAAGAGCGAGAATATCAAATCCCAAACTCTAGCTACAATCATGAATAGAAATACTTAATCTCACGTGATCTGATATTTGACATGATTATATTATACAAGAGGATCCTAATTATTCATAAATAAATCAATAGTAATAATTTTGTTTCTCCATATTTCAATATTTTTTTTTTCTCTCGTTTTTCAACATAGTTGATTTGACCATATATAATTAGAACCCTCTCATATAGTTACATGACATGATAATATTATAATCGTCGACCCTTAATATAGTTATTGTCTTTTTTTTTTTGAATATATCACATTTATTCTTTACGGAAGACAACTTTGTTTTGGGTCTTCTAAAAATAATACTGAAAAGGATTAAACAGATGTTCTTACTTCTACCTCCTAAGCTCTCCTGTGTCACCCTTATCAGTCTCATGTGTCAACTGACTTAACATTACTTAATATAATATTGTTTTTATGTCACAAATCCCAAAGTGGCAGAACTTTTAACCGTTCACAACTGTAAATGCAGCCAAGCTAGCCCTTCTCACATGCTTAAGACAGAAACAGCCAGTAGAGTACGTAGCACAAGGTTTTTGTTTTTTTGTTTCAGTCATATTTTCATGTGGCACGGACAGATAATTTCATCATTTGCCATGTATTACCAGGGGCCTCGCCCACCGTTTCAAATTATCTCTCTCAGATGTTGCATAATTGGATTGCTCTTTTTCAAAATCGGTAACTAGAAAAAAATTATTAACCTTATAAGGTTATTTAGGTAACGTTTGAAGAAGATGATGCTATTTTATCATTTAATTAATATGATAAGTATTAGTATTAGTGACTACACATACATGTATATATCCTTTGGACTTGGCCATTTTTCCTTGCATTTTTCAGTTTGCTGTTTCCTCTTCCAATCTCTTGAGCTGCATTCTTGGAATTCTTGAGCTCCAAACTATCTCTTCCACTTCTCCATGTTAAAACATGTTTTCTGACGATGAGATATAAATCCCAATATGCTATCTATCTTCATACTAAGTGTTTTCTGTTCATTGCTATCTCCTGCACTCATTTGTCAATTAATACTACTAGAAATATCCATATTTTTTATGGAGTTTTTCCGTTGCAAATTATGAAAATTTCAATGAAAAATCATTTTTTCACGAAATTCTTCTGTTAGATAACACTTCGTCGAAAGGCAACGGAAATTTTTTTTCCGTTGAAATTTGCAACGCAATTTTTTTCTATTGAAAAATTCTGCAGAATTTTTTCCATCAGAAACCTTACTTTTCTGTCAATAAATAAAGTCATGACATAGTATTAAAATAATAAATTCCGTTGAAAATTTCAATGAAAAATATTTTTGTCGGAAAATTCTGTCTCAATTTGCAACAAAATTTAATAACAATTTCGTAGAAAATTTTGACAAAATTAATTTCCATTGAAAAGTTCCGTCCCAATTTGCAATAAAATTTAACTATAATTCCATTGATAATTGCAAAAGAAACTATCTCCGAAAGATTTAGTTACAATGTGTTGGTTAATATATATGTTTGTTTACAAAATCAATTCAATTATTAAAATATTTCAAAACATTGTGCCCGATTTTATCATTAAATTCAACCAAAAAACATTATGGTGTGTTAAAGGAAGGGAGGTTAAACTGCTGCCACATTACATTCGTAATATTTTTTATTTTTTTAAATGG